AACTATTGGCAATTTGTGAAAGAGAGGATGTGACCGATGGCTGTGGCAAGTGGGTATGATTCTCTAGTTTATGTCGATAAAATTGAAGGCTATAAAAATTATGCTTTGTCTCAGTAATAACTATGCTATAATGGAAGGGTGGTAAAAAAATTAGAAAAGAGAGAAGATGTAGAGAGCAAATGTCATAATTCTCATACTAGGGGAAACTGAACTTAAAACTTGTATATTATTAAAAACTATATTTTGATGCCATGTTTATTCATATAGCATGATAATAAAGTAGTTTAATTCAATTCTGACTGTAACTCTAAAAAAGTCATGCCATGTGCACTTTGACCTGCCTGTAGAAAAAGTGTTAAATAACTTAAGAAAAGACTTCTGATGTTTGTATGCTTCATGCTAAAGAAGATTTGTTGTATGGAATTTTTAATGATTTTAAGAGTACAGCATCCTCTTTTCAACCAGCTTATGTCTTTAACACCTATATATATGCTTCTAATATTTAACACCTTCCATAATTTCTCTAATCGGTTTTTATTTTCATGTTTTTCCGCTTAATTATAGTAACTTTTCTCTCAAAATTAGCATTATAGTGTGAACAGTAGTTTTGGATATGGAGCATTATGAGCTTCAATACACCAATATAGGCTTTCAATATTTAAAATCTAACTTAATCCCATGTGAGGCCAAAAGAAGTTAAATCTTAAAAACAATGTATACTTTCAACTGTGTGATAACTATCCTATTAGGATACACTATTTGTTCTCTATAGTTTGTGCCCTAGTTTGATACTATTTGTTCTTAGGCCAATTTGTTTTAAATTATAAACATATAAATGTATGTCTACCTCCAGAATATCAAATTATTAAGCTTATTGGTTACAGAAAAAATAATAAACAAACAATTGGAAATCAAATTTACCTGCTTCAATCTCCTGAATGTTTCTACCAAGAGCATTTATCATGGCATTGGAACATAGAGAGTAAAAATCAGCTCCTGTGAGGCTTGGGGGACATTTATCCACTAGTACTTCCAGGTCAAGGTCAGCCCCCAGAGTAAATCTACACTCATCGAAATAAAACAAGGTTTTGCATTATTCAAGAGACCAACCCTCTAAGTTTTATTTCTTAATTCTTCTATAATCCTCTAGCAACTAAAAACAATGTATACAGTTAATTTTTAATTAATTTTGTGCTAAACTTAATGTGAAAATTCTTAAAACTACTGATGTGTAATAGTTAGAGAAAACTACTTTTCTTGTTCTTACTTCATAAAGTTGAAGAAAACAGTTTCTACACGTAGACTGAACCGATTTATTACCTTTGGCACTCATAAGTAGTTTCTTGCAAGACTTGTTTAACAAATGCTAGTTAATGTTATATACCTAAAAGGAATGATAGTTTAAATAAAGGATTAAACCATATCCAAAAAAAACCCCTTAGAGCATTCTACTTATTTTCTATTACACAGTTTTACGTGCACGAGTTGAGGGGAATCTCAAGTATGGTAAGGATGACATGTAATTAATTAATCTTTCAACTACCAGTTGGATCCTTTGAACACTTTAACCTTCTGACAAAACTGTACTGTCTAACAGTCAACTTGATCATAAAAGTGTCTTAAATCTCTCCATCACCAGGTGTATTTTCACAAACCAAGCATACAATGAAATAATACACCCAACTACTGTCCTGTGAAATTCAAAGTAAATCCATGAATTCCTTGACATCTTATTATAAAATGCTATGTATTTTCAATACAATTGAATAACTCTTTTTAACAGAATTCCCACAAACACATTAAGAAAAAATCAAAGATTTCTTTACAAGAGAAATTCTACAGAACATTCCTTACCCCAAACTGCTCTTTTAAAAGATGTCACTCATCAGGAAGCATAAATTTTCTGATAAATAAAAAAAGGAGGATGTGGCCTAAACTACACATTAACTTAAGGTCATTGTTAAAGCTTAGTTAAATGAATGTACTCCAGAAACATTATCAAAGGACTTACTTCCGAGTTAATGCTGTTAAGATTTTCAGTCTTGAGGCTTTTTCTTCAGGAATACCCACATATATAAGTCTATCAAACCTGGCATAAGTGAAATTTATTATTATTGTCATTATATTGTTTATCTGAAAATATTGTAGAAATTTTTGGATCAGTTTTTTGTACTTTTAAACATTCACATTAGTATATGATTTATCTCAACTTTCATATTTTTTAACTCATCTTTGATATACTTTAGCCATTCAAGGATGATTCTTAATATTCTTATTAATCAACTTAAGTTCCTCTAACAAAGATAGTTGCACTTTTAAGTCTTCCTTTAAGGTAGACATACTTACCGTCCAGGCCGTAATAAGGCACGATCGAGTAGGTCGGGGCGATTAGTTGCACCAATAACAAATACTTCTGCAGCCTTATGTAGTCCATCCAGTTCAGCAAGAAGCTGTGAAACAACTCTAAAAAATAATAAATTAGGCATCAAGATTACAGATAGAACAAGCTAGTAACCACTGTGGTTAAACCTCAACAATGCATACCACAAGCCTAACATAAAAAGCTACATACAAAGTTATGATGGAACGAAGTAACCAAAATTTAATTAAGCTATTTGATATCATATTAAACTAATAACACAAGTCTTATTTTATTGCTACATGTCTAACATTTTGATGCATGAAGTATCATCTCACTGCTACAATACACTAAAAATTACCAAATAAATCAACAGGAAAGATACTAAATATGCCGTACACTAGATTCTAACATGATATCTTATCTAACTGTTATAAAATCATACAATACATAAAAACCTCACAACAGCAGCTTCATCACACTTCTAAAATACAAAGGAATCTGATAAAAGTTTGCATTTTTGCTAAAACACATATAAATGTAATAGAAACTCCACCATAATGATACAATATACAAAAATATAACAACTAATAGAATATATTTTGATATAATAATATGGTGAAATATGACAAAAACTTCATTCTCTTGGTAAAATATAGCAAAACCTTCATTTTACTAATACAATAAAGTAAAATATGACAAGATACGTTTCATTATACTAGTAAAATGTAGCAAAATATGATAATAGAAGCTTATTTATTTATTTATCAAACTAAACACGTTATTCCTTCAATATGGAATGTTGAATCCACTTAGCAAGTAAATTAATGTTGTGTCATAAGCATAATACTAATCCGAGTTTACAACCTGGGCATTATTTCAATCTTGAAAATATTATTATATTGCTTTTTAAACTTTTTCAGCCCATTGGAATTATATAGGCCAGTTCTGTACTTGCATTCATAAAACTTAGTAAATCATGAACAAAACTGTATCTGAAATATAGACATTTTGAACAAATTATGATAACCAGTGAACATTTTGGAACCTATATAGATAAAATTTTTGGTATATTTACACTTTACAATGACATAAAACCATAATGTGATATCGTGTATACCGTGCCATTACATAACATGCCTGTAACTTTTTCCCTGAAAGCCAGGTTTCAAAGATGCTTAATAGTAATAATACAATCACGAGACAAATAATGTCAAGCACTAACCCACCTTGTTGACAAAAATTATACAACAAAATATCTTGTATATTATTCAAAATAATAAAAAAGATAGTATTTATCTTACCACATCTTATACATAAAAGCTACCTCTGTACCTTTAAGAAATTATGTACAGCTGTTTCAAAACGATCTTCATGCTAAGCCATAAGCTCATGTCACAGCACAATTCACAGTTAAATACAAAGAAAGTTTGTGTAAAGAACTACAAAAGTGATTACTTAAAAATAAAAAAAGCAGCACCAATAAAATAACTTTACCTTTCCATAGCATAAAAAAAATACAGTACCATAATACAGTTGGATTATTTGCAGTTGCAGGCAAGTGAAGAAAGGCTTCTGTTGCAATAACTAAGTTTAGAAACTTATAATTCAAATAATGAATAAAAGGTGATCTACGGGAAAAATGTTGTGAGGAAGAAAATAATCTCAGCTTTTTAACTATGTATTTATGATATTGTTAGCTTTAGAAGCTTGGAAGTTCTAATACAAAACAATGCAACCAGTTGAAATTTTATGCTTTTAACACCAACAACTTCAAAAATCCCCACTTTCAAATTATTTAAGCTAGAAATAAGAAATAAACATTTACAAAGACCACAGATTTGTAGCTTTGTTTCATATGTTGATTAGTTTATCTGTGCAGGCAGAACTTTTAAATATTTTTACTCCTCAAATAATAATTACAACTGGGGCAAAAACTGCAATTAGGGTTAGCAGTTTACGTTTTTTTAGTATTACTTGATCTAAAACAAATTATAATAAAATATACATAAAAAACTATAAACCTGAATTTTTTATTTATAGTTTCATTTTGTATATGACTTGAGGAGATAGATCAGAAAGAACTGATTAAAATTTAATGATGTCAAATACACTTATAAAAAAAAAACACGAAATACCTGACTGGAAAGGATTAATACCTAATAGTGTAAGTTCATTACTGTCTGTGGTTTATTGACTTGGTTTGTGTCTTTGCAATGAGTTACAGTGCATGAGCATATACAAATGCTCAGAGAATCACTCTTTCTGCCACAGTTTGTCATTTTAGTTGCAGTCTTCAAAGCATATTACTATTATTCACTGCATGTATAAGTTAAGATTAGTTTTAAAGCCATTAAATGAAGATATTACGTACTTGAATCACTAATAGAAGATTCAATATTTAGATGCAATGTACACTGGCAATATAGATGTCACAAAGGTAAGCTCAACACACACACACATTGGTAACTTACTTATATTCCCAGTTACTTGGTAAACTGTAGGTAAATCAAGAGGAGATAACACTAATGTATTTAGAACTAGGTTATATTTACGTATCATAATTTCCTTCTATTTCTAAAATTACAATAATTATATTTCCACAGCTGTGTGGTCATTTAAAGAAAACATTTGTGTTGGTTTATAATGCACAAACAAACAAGTTTATTGGATATGTTGTATCTTCAACAAACTGTATAAAATACACAGGTTTTAGAATTAATAGCAGAATTACATATATTGTGTTTTTAAAACAACAATCCATCTTTCTACTTTCTTGAAAATGATATATCATGATATGTCCCCATTCCCAGTGTTTAGTTGATAATCTTCCATTCCACAGTGTTTGACAAATAATATAAATATAAATCTGTACATGACATACCTCCTGAATCTTATTTTCAGTGTTTAATTGATAATCTTCCATTCCACAGTGTTTGACAAATAACATAAATATAAACCTATACACATGAACCTTATCACCAATGTTTAGTGGATAATCTTTATGCTACAGCATTTTATCAATGACATATTTTAAACCTACATTTCAACATGACCCTTACCTGCTGAATCCTCTGTATTGTGTTTGACAGAAAATGTTTTATACATGCTAGAGGGTTTTATTGTGCCACTCCTTGTGCTATATTTTTTGATGAACTGGATTCTTTGGCTCCTCATAGAGGAAACAGTGGAGATTCTGGAGGTGTTATGGACAGGTATTTTTGTGTTATTGGTTATACACTCTGGAATATAAGCTAATCTATAAACTATAGCATGAAGGATATGTTTCTCATCAGTCACTATAGTATGTAAGATTATCTATGAAACACAAAAGATAGGGATCAAGAAGTAAGAATGAGCACATATTTAAATACACTAGTGTGATCTTTACTACTTACAATTGTAAAGAAGTTTGTACTCGCTTGCCGTACCTTGCATTGCTAAGCCTTGACGAATTTCAACATGGAGGGTGTAAAACAAAATTACTTTTTTAGATTTTTATATATGTATTTTGAAATAACACAGAATTATAAATTTCTCTTATCAATATTGCAGAATTCCACTAATTTATCAGGCTTATTAACTAAACTGCATTTGGGTCTATAAAGTTGTTGTTTTTCAAACAACATTTACACTTACCCCTTCCTTTCGAGATTCTAGACCAAAGAAATAATCTTGGGAAATTCCCAACAGCAAGAGGCTGAGAAAACCACGTGGGGGAAATTCTGAGCTTTTTATTGGTTATAAATACATGATAGAACGAAGTAGGCATATGTAAGAAAGTATTTTCAAAAATTGAAGAGGTGCATGGGGCCACTGTGTTTGATTCTTTAAATATAGTGATATCTCAGCAAATAGAAAAGAAAGGAGTGTCTTATTTTGTATTCTAGCTTTGTTAATATTGATAATTTGAGTTTCTAATTTCTAAGAAACTATAGACTTTGTATTTGAACATCACAAATATCTAATTTGAACCAAAGCTGAATTCAACATACCACAAAAATCAATATATAGGAATATATTTTAATATTTACTGTTAAATTAAGAAATTATCTGATGCATAATGCTAGAATTTGATGCCAAACGTATTGACATACATTCATAAAATAGTAGTTCAATAAAACTTTGAACGTAAGTCTACAAACATGATGACGTGCAACAATCCATTGTTTTCCTGAAGTTGGAAAGTCATGGTAGATTTTAACATGTTAATTTGGGAAAAATTTTTTATTGTGATTATAATAATACTTAGGATCATATAATTGACTGTTTTAGACAGATTTAGAGTGGTGTCTATGATCTGTGTGATATAACTAGTAAGGATGAAACTTGGGAATCTTCAGCTGTCGGAAGGTTGGTCCTGAATGGGTATAGTCATAAAGTATCATTTTTAGGTTATAGTTTTTATTTAGTGAATTTTCTTTCATCAAGGGTTGCAAGTTCTTATTTTTATATAATGATTGATGTTTCATCTATTTCATGCTGTTAGTAGTTGGTCTTCCTGCCAGTTACTTTCAGCTAGCTGATATCTTTTTATTCTTGTATTGTTCACTGTATGGTTTATTCAGTGTGAAATGTTATTCTACACAATCATAGTTAATGGACTTGATGTGTAGGTAGTCCTTTTTATCCAGTCTTTTAGTTTATCATCACACAGGCATGAAGCTATTCAGTTAAAATTAGTATCCTTTATAATGTTCCCAAAATTTAGCAAACTTAAAAGTGCTGAAAAGTACCCCCCTTTTTTTTTGCATGACCAAATTGTATCATTAACTTAATAAATATTCTGCATGATTGTCCCCTATGAATCATCTACAAAATAAAATTAGAACTAAGATTTATTTTTCGTTATGTGATTTAAAAAAATTCAAAGTGCAAACTCTAACTTAGGTTTTTGACCCTCTCTCCAATCATAATTTGTATTTGGGAAGAAAATATATAAACTTCCTATCTGCATCAATAAAACTTGTCAACGTTTGAAACAAAGATGTAAACCTGTGGTTTTTGTACATGTTTGTTGTTTATTTTTAGAGGAAGTAGTTTAAAAACAATGAATTTTTAAAATTGAAGATATCAAAAAATATAAAATTTAACTCATCACTGCAAAAAAATAAGTTTTACAACTTCCATTCCTAAGCTTCTAGAGTTAATAGTTATAAATATATTATTTGAAAACTGGGATTATTTTTTCACTACCATCTATTTGCCATAAGATCTCCCTTTGTTCTATCTGTGGATAGTAAAATTTCTAATCTTGTGCTTATAACATCAGAAATGTATCATGATTGAATACCTTCAAATAATGCACTAAATCATGCATTTTTTAATACATAAAAGTAATAAGTTGATTTTATTAGTTCCACTGTGTGTTTGTTTATTGTTTTAAATAATTAGTATGGCAGTTTGTTTTCTCTATACCATATCTCCTCCTTGTAATTTCAAACTTATGGTTGTTACTGAGGATTTTATCCTGGCATGAGGTTAGGTATTGGATGTACATAATTTCTAAGAAGAAGAATTACAGAGTGGTCCAGCATGGCCAGGTGGCTAGGTAGCTCGACTCACAATCTGCAGGTCGCGTGTTCGAATCCTCGTCCCACCGAATATACTCGCCCTTTCAGCCATGGAGGTGTTATAATGTGACAGTTAATCCCACTGTTTATTGGTAAAAGAGTAGCCCAAGAGCTGACGGTAGGTGGTGATGACTAGCTGCCTTCCCTCTAGTCTTACACTGCTAAATTAGGGATGGCTAGTGCATATAGCCCTCTTGTAGCTTTGCGCAAAATTATAAAAAAACATAAGACAGAATTACAGACGTAATTTTATTAATATAAGATATAGTGTGACAAATACTATATATTTATATTATCTTTATTGACATGCAAAACGTTTGTTCTAAGATATCTTTTAACAAAGTGGACTTAATATTAATAGTTCATGGTGTCATTAGGCCTATAATTGTATTGTACTACTAAGCATGTGTGAAACCTGATTCTCATGTCAGCAATTATGGGCATGTTGTCTAACTGCAAATTATGCATTTATGCTGTGTAGTGAGTTTTATCATTAAATTGTAAGTTTACCAAAATATCTAATTGAGGTTGAAAAATATTTAGTGGTTATCATGTTTTATGTTTAAAGTGTCTGTGTTTCATAGATAATTTAACTTCAATGTTGTTATTTTTTTATGAACATAAATACAGAAGTGGCCAAAATTATGCTATCAAGCTGAAAGGGGAAGTGGGGGACTAAGGATAAATTTGGTTGTAGCATTTTTTTTCTTTTCTTGTTTTATTCTCAAACAGATTCCTAATGTGCATTGGGAAGATATAGGGGGTATGTCGGATATTAAACAGGAGATACTGGACACAATTCAACTTCCTTTACAACATCCTGAACTTATGGCTTCAGGATTTCATCGTTCAGGTAAGTCATAAATGGTCCCTTTTTTTCTTCGAGGCATTTTAAGTAATTATCTTATTTAAATGAAAAGTTCTAAATGTTACATGCTGGCTGGGTTACACCATTGTGTTTGCCCACTAAACTTTGTTGCTTTACTTCCTGAAGTCTAGTTTAGTAAGTTTTAATTCTGTAATACTTTTTGGTTATTATAATTAATAACAATTGCATAATGTTTAGATTTGTCAGTTGGAAACCAGAGTTTATTAGAAACGAGCACCATACTCAACATTTGTAATATTAATGGATGTTTCAGAACATAAAAAGTCCATTTCCTGAAGTCTGTAAAAGTATATAATCTTGATGTATGTTGTTATAGATTGCTCATGTACTTTTTGTTGTGGTGCTACTGTTTTGGATTTAGCATAAAGTTTATATTTGATAGAAATGTCATTTTTAAGAATTACATGAAACATGCTTACGTCTCTTAAAGCTTGCATTATACTTCATTCATTCAAGTAATTTAAGATGGTACATTTTGTGTTTGAAGCATCACTGGATAATAAAGATTGCAAGAGATAATTGAAAAATTATTTCACAAATATAAAATATACAAATAACTCTTAACTTGGAAAGTTAAAGGGTAGTCAAATAATTCTGTTCACCTTCATGGAACTTGAAAAATATATTGTAATCTTAATGTTTTAAAAACGTGTGACTTGATAATTTTGATATTTTAACAAACATATTGTGAATTTTCTTTAGATACTCAAAATTAAGTACCATTAACTCTCTTGTCAAGGACATGTCGAAGTACACATGTCACAACTTTATAGAGAGTTACTTACAAAATTTAATTAAACTACTTTATTATCATGGTATACAAATAAACTTGGCATCAAAATATAGTTAATAAATCATATTTTATTATGTTTTAAGTTCTGAATTTTATAAGGAAATACTTAAATCAATCCTCAATCTTCCCTAGTATGGGAATTGTGACATTTGCTCTCTAAGTCTTCTCTCTTTTCTCATTTATTTACCTCCCTTCCAAGATGTACAGAATTTAACATACATTACTCACTATAACTTGGTTATTACTCGGGCAAAGCACAAGTTTTATTTCCGTCAATCTTATTTTTAACATAGACATAAACTAAAAAATCAGACCCACTTGTCATGCCCACCAGTCACATCCTCTCTTTCACAATTGGCAATTGTTCCCTCTTACATTTAACACTATATTATTTATAACCAATATAAAGCCAAAGTTTTAATCTGTCAAATGTCGTATTATATTACATTGTTTTCTGTACAGAGGATTGTCCATTTCACTTCCAGTTCAAACATTATCCCCCTGGGAAATTCTAAAGGTCAGTTTGGAGTCTCAAATTTGGTTGAATCGACCAAGCCCATAGCAAGAAAGTTAAAAAATTATATTATTTTTGACAATAAAGGTTGTAACCATAAGCTGAATCTTTTGAATTAAGTACACTAAATACACCAACCTACAATAAGTAACAGTATGATACCTGTTATTAAACAATATTAACATTTGTACCACTGTACAATAGCATCAATATAAGTACTTGGTGTCAAACATTATCAACATAAATAGCTGTAGTAAAACAGTGTCAGCACTAGTTATGGATTGCACTTATGTAAAGACACCTGTGTATTGCATGCAAAAAAATAGATATATGTAAGGATTGTGCAAAAGGTCTGTGCATTTGTATACAAAAATATTTTATTTTACTATAATTAGTTGTGTATACTTAACACTCACTAAACCTAATTAAGTTTACCTGGTGTTTTATCAATGAAGAAAATTCTTGTAGCTTTCCAGACAGATTTAATTTAACATGAAGCATTTTTAAGAATGAAAAGAATGTCTAAAAAAACTATAACAAAAAAATTCTTTTTTCTCTTAATCTAAACTGTATTCATTCCCACAGAAGTTCCATTTAGTCACTTTACCACAAACCTATAAATGACTGCTTAAAACATTTTATTTACTCAACATTGACACAAGTAATTTATAATTTTCTTTAACAATTGTATTTACATGTTACCTGTAGCTATTTTCAAAGCTGTGCTTTAATAGTGATTGTTCATGCCACATGATGTGACATCAGAGGTGAAATTCTGCCAGTACTAGTACGAGGACTTATTTGAGCTGCTTTGTCATTTTTTATGTTTACACATAGATTTTTTTTCTCCAAAAACAGGTCCACTTTACCCATCTGAGTACCTCTACTTAATGTAGGAAAATCATGGTTAATTATCTTCTCAAATAATGATAATTTTGTAGCAAATTTTTTATGTTTCTCTACATAATGCAGTAAATAAATGTTAAAAAATGATAAAATATAAACTTTAAGATGTTTTTAGTGGTACACCTGATTAATACCCTTGTAGAATGCTATCAGCATCAATACTAGTTATCAAAAGACTAACTATTAGTACCTCCTTTAAAATAGTTTCAACACTAGTGCCTATTATCAACATCAAGATCTATAGTGGAAAAATATAGGAATCAGGATTTGTAGTCAAACAGTATCAGTAATTGGTATCTATATTTATACATTTGAAATACTAGTATCTCTATAATGGTGCCAACATCAGTTGCTGCAACTAAATTGTCAATGTCAACATCAGTTTCTATAGTCAAATGGTGTAAACAGTCGGTACCTGTAATTTAACTTTGTGAAAATCTGTTAATGTAAAGAATACTTAAAATCAGCATCCTTGAAGGAGAATAGTTATATTAGTTAAAACTTTACTGTTCAGATTACTAGTGAATGAATAACATCACTGTGCTGTAATGCAACTTCAAGTTTTGGACAATTATACATTGATATAATCATGATTATACAAAATAATTTTAATATATTTCTCCTGTAGAGTAAAGATTTCATCATCTCAAATAGATTCTCTCTTATGTCTTCACTAAATAAGACTATGATGTTTTGCCCTTAGGATTACTGCTATATGGTCCTCCAGGAACAGGAAAAACACTTCTTGCCAAAGCTGTTGCTACAGAATGCTCTCTTAACTTTCTTAGGTAATATTTTAGAATAATTACTGGCAATTGGGATTTAAATAAGAATGTCTATACTGTCTCTCTCTGTTTGGTCAATTCTTTAGTTGGTAAACTGCTATTGAAAATAAAGAAATGCAGTATGCACAACACAGGACTTTAATTGAGTTTTTTAAATTTAAATATGTGAGAATTTTAAAATAATAAATTAAAGTTTGATATTTTTGTTTACTTGAAGTGTGAAAGGTCCTGAGTTGATCAACATGTATGTTGGACAGAGTGAAGAAAATGTTAGGGAAGGTAAGGTTTGTTCTTATTGTATTATATTGTGGATCATGAGAATTGCCTTGAAATGAAAAAATTACACGTGGTTTAATATATATATATATATATATATATTTTACAGTTCTTTGGTGCCTTGATTGATTTTTAGATATTAGTGTAAGTCACATGAATAATTATGGTGTAAATACAGTGATATCATCTTCTTTCATTTGTTTTATTGATAAGCATACTGGTATGATAAAAATCCCAATAAGATATTGCAGTAAGTCATGAGTAAATTAGATCACCAGTGCTTTACCTTCATATGATGTCTACTGGATATTTTTTTCCAGAATAATGTAAGTATGGAAGAAAGAATATACTCCACTAAATCAACAAATTATAAATAAATTGATGTTTACATTGCAACATTGAAAAATTTAGTAAAATCATCAAGATTAAGTTATTTCAATATTTTAATGTTTCATGTCATCTATTAATGTTTTTTCATCTTTCCTCCTAGTTTTTCAAAGAGCTCGATATGCCACTCCTTGTGTTATATTTTTTGATGAACTGGATTCTTTGGCTCCTCATAGAGGAAACAGTGGAGATTCTGGAGGCGTTATGGACAGGTATTTTTGTGTTATTAGGTTATACACTCTGGAATATAAGCTAATCTATAAACTATAGCATGAAGGATATGTTTCTCATCAGTCACTATAGTATGTAAGATTATCTATGAAACACAAAAGATAGGGATCAAGAAGTAAGAATGAGCACATATTTAAATACACTATTGTTTTCTATCTTATTTATTTACGGTTCTATGTTTTAAGAAAAATAACTTAAATTTAAGAACTTATTTGTAAATTGTAATAATATGTACACATATATGTAATGTATTATAACTGAAATGTGACTATTTTACAAAATACTGGTCCACTAGAACAAAGCCAAGACAGGTCACTTTGTAATGGCCAGTTTTATGCTATTGGATATGGTAACACGAGTGTATGTGCACCACATTATTGCAAGTTCTGTAATGCTAGTCAGACATGGCTGAAAGGTCAGTAAAATAAATAGGATAAATATATATAGATGTATAATGTAATGAGATTTAAACTACTTAGACTAAACATTTATGGTTTTGTGTTATAATTTATAGTCATTCTATAACAAAAAAGGCATAATATATATCTATTTCCTAATTTTTTTATGGTGATTACGAAGTCTGTCAAATTGACCAAACTCATACAGAGATATAATAGTGAAAATAAAAAGATAAAATATAAAGTTTTTTCTCAAAAATAGTTTAATAATTATCTCGAAGTTATTATGGGGTTATAAAGGTTTCATATGTGAAATTTGACAATTTTCTTTTGCATAAAATTATTTTGCATGTTGGATAGTCAACTTTTAAAAAGAAAATATGCATGACAAATCATTGCTTAAAACATCTTCAACCTTAATAATAAAATCTCATTTTTTTGTACAAAAGCCCTGTAATGTTTACCTATACTCTGCACAATTTTGTGAAGATATGCTTACTGTATTAAAAGTTATAGTATGAAAACTATAACAAGCACAAAATGGTTATAAGGTCTGTTCCTGAGACCAAGCCTAAAGAGATGGAGTACTTGAAGTTTCACCAAGGCATTATCTAAAGGTATTTATGTTCTGAACCAAGGAACTTTCATAACCTCTCTTAGTCTTAATGATAGCCTGTTTGTCTTCTCTTTGTTTATTCTTTAAATCAGAACATTGTTCATTTTACTAACACAGTAATCTCTTACCATCAATTGAATCAAACATATGCTTGTACTGTAGTTACCCAGATCCTTCCTCTGCTCTTTCTTTATAAAAAAAATAGGGTACACTTTGATAATTTCCTAATCATTTGGAAGATTTTTAGCATCCAAAAACATCTTGGGAAAATAGCAGTTCGAGCTACCACTGATTCTTTGCTGGATATTTGTTTTCAACTTTGTATGATAAATGTCATCAGGGCCAGAAATGTCTATAGCTACTTTTTCAATCTATAAAAAAATAAGTGAAATCCCAGTTTTAAGAAATTGGCAAGCTTGGGATTCTTTAAAATCTTTTAAAAATAATTGTTCATTTTTTGCTTCCACTTTTTCAGTTATCATAACCACAAACATTTTTAAACATTTTGTGTTCTGAACCAAGAATCAATTTTAATCTCTTGTGGCCCTAACTATAGCCTTTACTTATTTTTGTTTATTCTTTAATTCACATCATTTCTTATTTTACTAATGCATTTTATTCCCTTTTCATACATGCTGTTTTAATATATTAGAAATTTAATTCCTTCATTTATTTATGAAAAATATTTTTTTGTTAGAATGTAAATAGGTGGTAGGAATGTATTTCTTTTTAGTTAACATTTATTGGATAAGCAAAATTTCTAAGATTTGTAAATATTATTTTTATTCAGATAAGCTACCAATCTTTCTCAAAATATTTTGTAGTTTTTGAAAGACAGCTTTATAAATTGTAGACACAAGTCTTATTAACTCTTCAACTGGTTTTCAGTAAAAACATGAAAGGTAATGATGTTATGCTTGCTAGTGCTCAAGCACTCTTGCACAAATGTGTATTTTTAACTTTTAGTAACAAAAACAAGGTCTAAAATAGCCACTTCCTTAGTAGGCTCTAACATGATGAGAGAGAGAAAACGTTTCTCCACAATTTGCAGAAATTGTTCATCTTTATGCAATAAAGACAGATTAATCCAATAAACTTCCTTAAGATTAGTCTTTCACAATAGTAAGCTTGCTTGATTTGGTAACTAATTTGTAAATACATGTTAATATCAACCACATAATAATAAAAAAAAGCAAATATATCTATATTTAACTTTCTTTCAAACTCTCAACCCCAGTATTCACAGAATTTTTCCCACCCCAGTATTATCATTTCTCAAACTTCCAACTCACTTCTAGCAAACAAAAATGTACCCTCTTCTCCTGTTATTAACAGTCTACAAAAGGCCATAAAACTTTATGAAGAAAACATCATCATTATCTTCATTTAATAAAGACTTGGGAATACCAGTAATGTCTAACATGCTGCCATCTGTACTTCTAGTTCTAACAGTTTTTTTACAGATACTTTTAGCAATTAAAAAACATTAATTTCAACTTTCTTATCAGTACAACTGTAGTAGGTTTAGTTTTTAGTTTTCAAATCTAAGGCAACGAAATGTTAATATTCAAATACCATACAACTAATACATTCACATCATGTCAAATTAAAGTTTGTAATATTCATTTAGTGCTTGTACAAACAACTTTTCATTACTCCTGAACCTGTCTCTCGGATCTAACCAGTTTTCCTGTTGATCTATACATAATCACTACTATAATATATTTGCTAACAAGACAGCTCATTCATGTACATGTACTATACTCATGTCTTCTCTTACGGGTGCTAGATTTGAGAATCCATTATACCTAGGCTCTGACCTGGAAGTGAATTTTTAATTGGTATACTGTAATGATTCCAGTTAACTGATGAATAAATTAGTTAAAGTATGGTAATCTGTAAAGCATAAAAAATGAAGGGTAAAAGGGCCATTTGGCCCATTAAGGTGCACTCTGCATCAAAGACAAACACTAAAACCAAATGAAATGGATCAATTCATATGTATATCTACATATATACCTCTCCAAGATGTTTCAAATAATTCAAGCCAATGGCATATATCACATGATCAAATAAAGCTGGGCAATTTAATTCAATATAATTGATTACTTATATGCAGCAATTGCTCAGTATGCTCAATTTTAGCTGTATAAGTTGTTTTTTTTTGTTTTTTACTTCCAGCCTGTTCAGGTCTTTTCTTGAACTGCTGATTAGAGGGGATGAAACTGTCTGGCAACACCCATCACCAACTACCAACTTTTTTTTTTATACATGTATGTACTATGGTTTTAAAAAACATTGTATTAATCAGTTGATCAAATGTAATCAATTAGTAAATATCACAAATTGTCTAGCTCTATGATCAGGTAGATTCTTCCACAAATTTATATTGTTACTCTAAAAAAAATAGTTTTTTTTTGAAAGAAGAAAAGTATGCACTTGGGCTTGCAGGGCTTGAGATTGTTATTTTCAACTTTCTCATTCATCATTCGTCAAGTTCATCATTAGGAAGATTGACCAAACTAAATAGAGCCTAACTCTTCTGTGCTCAAGAGAAACTAAAGCTACAACTTAAAAAAAGATCTTGTAGTGTAAATAATATTTATCAGGTATCACTGTAGTGGGCTATCTGAAATGTTTTACATATTGATGTTCATTCTGTTCTAAAAGGACACCACCTAGAAATGAGGTTTCACCAGGGTATTATCTGAAGCTTATAGTGACTTTCATGTTCTTAAAATTAATGGAATCATAGAATAGATTTGCTTTTTTTAGCATAGCTTAACAATCACGAGAGGGTTTTAGGGTTTAATCCTTATTCCACAACATCAGTGCTTCTTTCTGGCTAAGTCACTACACTGACAGGTCCTTTTCAAGAAGAAAAATATTAATGATAGAATTAGTTTTATACTATACAGCATATATTAAAAGCTTTATTATCTGGCACTTGAAGGATCAACGTGGCACTAGTTAATCCAGTATCAACAAGTATCAATATTAACAAGAATATCAAACATTCTTACAGTAAGATTTCTAGTAATATTTCACAATTGATGATAATCCTAACAATATTCAGCAATAATAAAGGCTAAGAAAACATCATAATGCAAAGTATAGAGACAAAATACTTGTACTGACAATGAAGGCTGGTGTAAACTGAGGGAAAATGTAAACAAAGAGATGGTGATGCCAATGACTCTGTGAAGTATGTAAACAATGCAATCAGCATTTGTTTTTCTTCAAAATTGTTAATATGATTATTTTATAAGCACGAACATTATTATTACAGTACTGTAAGCATTATAACTGTATTTAAATTATATTCATGGTGTACATCACAGACCAATGTGATTGGCATTTGTTATTCTTTTTTCAAGATTATTAATTTTATTACTTTATTATCATGAACGTTATTATTACAATAACATAAACATTATTATTTACATTTTAATCAACACACTATTATTAAAAAGCTTCAAGATTATTCAGAAACATTTTGCTTACTTTTGCCTAACTAAACATTTCAATGTCTGTTTGTATAGGATAGATATTGAAAATTCTGATTTAAAGTTTTCTGGTTAGTCCAATACCAGATAGTCTAGTTTTTACTGTTGTTCATCATCAGATTATTCAGACTGATTTTAAAAGTCACACTAGGGACAGTTATTCAAAACTTTTCTTTCTGGGGACCAGATAAAAGCTGAAAAACAATTAAATTCCAAATACCTAGAGCATAAAGCAAGTTATCAGCATGAGAAATTTATAAATACTGTTGTGAGGGTGAATAGATGGTCTTGTTGGCTCCTTTTGAAAAATGTAGTTTGAACAACTGTTTTATAAACTAATTTGCTCATTATTTACCCCATTACAGACTAATCCATTTATTCCTTCACCATTCTTTACCATAATAACCAAGAAACAAATTTCACAACTAAGCAGAAACCAAAACTGGAATAAAAGCCTTAGCAGAAACAAAAAACTAGTCTAGGTAAGTATCACATATAAGTAACCAATCTTAACGATCCTTATGAAGTTTAAAGAACTCGACAATTTGCTTAAAATAGTAATACTAAATCTCAAAAAGAAGCTTTAAAAAACAAAACAAAAGGTAAATGAGTGAGGAGTTAGGTTTAAGTACAACTTTAAAAGCCACAATCTTGTATCTAAGGTGATTTTAAAGAAGTCTTAAATAATTTTTGAGAAATAAAAACATAAAGTGAAATAAGTAAAAAAACAGGAATTAAGTTAGGAACATTTTAGCTTAATACAAGTAAGCAAAGTGACATGTAATTTGTGAGAATGTGAATCAGAAAAGCTTAATATATATAACTTTGTTTCACACTGTTTTTTAATTATTACTGTTACGTCTCTGGTCGTTTGTTAATTTCCCGTAAAAATTCTTCCCGAGGAACTCCAGCGATACAAATCCTTTCTTGAATAAAACTAGTTTATTCTTCCTCAGTACAACTTTGCAATACACAGAATTTCCACAGTCACTTTAACTTAAACACACGCTATAATTCACAATGATTTACACACTTTACTTATGGCTTGACTCTAGTATCTGTCTCTATATCTCCCCATCTGCAATTATATGCCATCACTCTCACTCTGCTTTATTTGCTGGGCTTATATACAAAAATAGAGGGCATCTAGCAAACACTAGAGTTACCAGGAACAGTCATGATCCTTCTAGAAACTCATGACGTGTTACCAGCGTCACGTGACTTCCGCTGTCGTCACATTACTCTTAAATTATACTTTGTATTGCTGATTTTAGTGTTCTAAATCCGTAGACTTACTGCTGTTCCAGCAGGGGACAAGTGGAATGACCATTAATTAGGAACCATTATAATAGGATCAAGTAAAAAAGACAGTTTTTCATTTCATTCATTATACAACTGAACCAGCTTCTTATCAGATATAAGCTCATTTTTTAGATGCATGAGTAAAATAAAGGTTTGTAGTCATACTGAGTTTTTAAGTTTTGCAATATAATCATGCCTAGAAAGTGTTGTTAATTCTTTCAGAAAGGGCTCGGTCCCTGGGAACGACCTCGTAACCATTTTGTGTTTGTTATAGTTTTCATGCTATAAATTTTAAATTAGTAAGCGTATTTCAACGAAATTTGGCAGATTATCAGTAAACTCTACAATGCTTTCATATGCAAAATATCAATTTTTTAAATTAAGTCTTAAGGTTTGTTAAGCAATGTTTTTCTCATGCCTTTTTTTTTTTTTCGCATCTTGCCTATCCAACATTTTAAGATTAAAAATACTTTTATGCATCAGAAAATGTTCAAACTTCACATACGATATTTTTATAATATCTAGATAGTTATCAAACATTTTTAAAGAAAAATCTTTATATTTTATCTTTATTTTCATTAACAAGTCTGTATGGGTTAGGTAGATTTGACTGATCTTGTAACCACCATAAATAATTAGGAAATAAATATAAATTATGCCTTTTTGTTCTAGAATAACAACAAATTATAACATGAAAAAATATGTTTAGACTAAATAGCTTAAACCTCATAATATTATACATTTATATATATATATATATATATTATTTTTATCATATTGATCTTTCAGCTATGCCTGGCAAACAATACAGAAGTTATAATGAAGTGGCACTTGTGCACTCATG